GATACAGTAAATAAATGTGGAAGTTATTGATAAAGTAAATGTTGACAGCGACCATAGAATGGTCAGAGGCCAAATTAAATTACAACTCAGAAGGGAAAGGAGCAAACTCATACAAAAACCGCAGCCAAATTTAGTTAAGTTGAAGACCAGAGCAACAGAATTTAGCCTTAACATCCCAAGCAGATATTCACTCAGCAACGAAGATCTCAACATTGACCAAATCAACAAACAGTTCCATGGCATAATAAAGGAAGCTGCACTTGAAGTAGGCAGTAGGAATGTCAAACAAAGCTTCAGCAAACTCTCGGTAGAAAACAAACAGCTTAAGCAAAATAGAAGTAAACGCAGTAACTGGAAACATACCTAACATCACAACAGAAGAAATAAAGAGAGCGCTTAAAGGCATGAAGAGAGGAAGACGCCAGGTGAAGACGGCATTAGTATAGACCTTATAATAGATGCAGGAGAAATTGCAACAGTGAAACTAGCCAATCTTTTTAACAAATGCCTTTGCCATGGTATTTCACTCGCTCACCTTAGTTCACTCTCTGGAGGGGGAATACCTGTAGCAACACGAACCCGCAACCTGAAGTTCAGCATACCTTCCAGGTTGGGTCATATCAGGTCTACAGAAGTGTTCCCGCACTCTCACCAGCAGACGCTTCTCTCTACTCACTTCAGAGACCTGACCGGCTGACACGGACACCTCTCGCTAACGCTAGTCTTAAAGCGGCAGGACCGAGAGCTGGCTAAGGAAACACCAGATAACATCAAAGAGGAGCTGGAGAGGAACCTCCCAGACAACAAAATTGGCAATACTTTAATTATGAAGAATAGACATCTAATAAAAATCCAATTCACAGACCACCAGACTGCTACCAATATCCAAGAAAAAGGGCTATACCTGTTTAACACCTGTTTAACATCTAGGACAGAATTTACAAATATAAGATGGAAAAAAGGAAAAAAAAAAATTTCGCCTGCTATGGATTATCATAACGGTAGTAATCCTTTTATGACAGCCTATTGCCAGTGAGACGTTCGCCTGTTTCTCTTCCAGCTCCTTAAGAGAGGTTCAGTAGGTCACTCTTTTGTTTTATTTAAGTGAATGCAAATGTGAGACATAATAAGATATAGTGAGGCGGGTGGGTGGGTGAGTAGATCTGGGTACGATACATGAAATGAGCAGTGGTGAATGGCAATACGGATAAATAAGGGTATGTGAAAAGGGAGTACATAAATGAAAAGTACCGGGGAAGAGTAGCCGTGTTCGAAGTATCTGTGTAAGGGCAGGAAACATCTGTCCAATGTACATGTGTAATCAGTATGGTGCGCTTGGGGCAAGGGCCTTTCCCTAACCCAAGCAGATCTGCTGTAGTGTTTGACCAGGTTTGCATTCATGGGTGTGCCATGGGAATTGTGTGTTTGCTCACTGCAGATGAGAAAACATCCTCCGTCTGGTGCAGACACTGTGGTGTGCACCAGCCTGAGGCCTTTCCTCACCCGGCCAAGTGAGTGTGAGCAGTATAGTTGGCACCATGAGGTACATTATAAATCTTGGACATAAGAATGAGAAATGAGAAGTAAAAAGTAGTGATAACTGTTGTGGTGGAAGACAAGTGAATCAGATCGGTGGTAATATAATAGATAAACATTGTAGTCAGCGCATAAACTCGTTAAAAAAAATAGGGATGGCAATGATTTACGGCGATAACGTCAGTGTAAAGCATGTTGAAGGTTCTCTCGTGGAGGTGTAGGTACCATTGATGGGGTTGGTGGAGAGTGTGAGTACCTGGATGTGACATCATCTGTGGTTAAGTGGTAGTTTAAGTTTGCTTTTGTGTTGGCGAGAACTATGTCTGGTATGGTGGAGCTGTTGACACGTATGAATGTGGGTGTATCTGGGCCGAGGTGGATGAGTCTGCCGTCGGAGAGGCGAGGCTTCTTCTGACTGCATTTGTCTCTGTATCCAAAAAGTCTGTAGTGTGCGTTGAAGTCTCCCATTATGTATGTTGGTTTTCGGTGCTGCACTAGCTGAAAGAGGTCGGGTTGGTTTATGTAAGGTCTGCATGGGGGGGGGGGGGCATAGGCGGTGGTGATTGTGATGGGCCATGAGGAATGTGTATATCAATGGCCATGCGTTCTGATATGAAGGTGTCTAGTATTTTGTGTTTGATGTGTTGTTTGACAGCAATGGCTACGTTGTATGATCGTGAGGCGCGAGTGTAACGTGTTGTGTGATGCAGCCATGCTGATACTTGGCATGTGCTGTACTAGCAATTTTGTAAGTGTTCAAGGTTTTGTTGTTTGATCTTTTCAATCATATCTGGCTGGATGAATATGTTTCCTGCGTGTGGATGTGTGATTTTCTGTTTGTGAATATGGTTTTGGTGTGTGGTGTTTGTATAAATCCATTTTATTGTACTGCATTGTATTTCATGTGCCAGTTGTTGTCTATTGAGGTGTTTGTAGCGTGAGGGCTCTGCTGCAAAGAGGTGGA